GGGGATAGCCTTGCAGTTAGACTGGTGCAGAAGCAGTAATTTAGTTTCAGGATTGGCTCCTAGGCTCATGCAGTTGCCTACAACATTTTGTGAGACTTAGTAGATGAGATGTCTATAATCATTCATGTTTAATGTCTCCATTTCTGACTGCCTGAACAGCCTTTGCTTTCTTAAAATAGAGGGAGGCAAAAGTGGAATTTTATTTGCAAGCATGGCTGTAACAGCAGGAGAGGAGTTAGTAGATAGAGTAAGTTTGTGTCTATTTAAAAGATTTTAACGATGTGAATAATTGTTAGTAACAACAATTATTGTAATAGTCCAAACATTTGCTGGTTCCTTATAACCAAATTACAGTTATAAATGAGAGTTATAATGAATGCCAGAAAAAATCAGGAAGCAAGATAATTTTTTTTAAACAGTAAGGAGCGAAAGAAAATGTGACAGTCATGAGCACTGCGTCATTTGTAAAAATGTACTTTCTGTGCATTTATAGTTGTTTTATTATTACATTATTATTACATTAATAATGTTCAGATAGAACTAGTCTCCTGTTCTATTATAAAACTCTGTTTTAATTTGGCTGGTTGCAACAGAGCTTGTCTTTTTTGCAGTGGTAGAACAAAACCTGTTGAAGAGGAAGAAAGCTCTCTGTTTTGAATTGGGTTTTGCTATTATCAAATGTGGTTTCCATTTTTGAGTTGTCCTTTATCAGACTTGCTCCTGGGTTGTGCTACAAAAAATCCTAAGTCTTTCCATAGCTGTTTTCAGAATGTGATGTACTTAAAAGCTGGCTGTCGTGCTTTAACAGTCAAAGTGGACTTTTAGGTGATAAATCTGAATAGACATATATTTTCAGGTTATGTTTTATATGTTACTGATAATTGCAAAGCATAGTGATTATCAGTGATTTTTTTTATTTACGCTGTATAGCTTTAAAATGCTGTGTGGAAAAGGGGAAAACAATATGCTGGTCATGCAGTAGTTAGGCTATATAACAGGAGTTCTGAGTGGGGAGCAGGTGTACCAATGCCCAAGGACTGCTGACAGCCAATATTGAAATTAGACCTGAAACCTTTGAATGTGTTTTGTACAGCTGGAATAAGTTTTGTCCTAAGTGAATGATTTCTCTGCGGCAATTTATTTGTGTTCCAATGATCAGATAAAAAAAAAAAATTTAAGTGACATATAAACAAGTCTTGGTATATTATGCGGAATAGATGCCTGTAGATTCAAGAGTAAGTTAGGAGCAAAGTTTATCTTAAGGATTTGAAATTAAGGCAAAAGTTACTATGTATGTGGCTCACTTCAAAGTGAGCCTTCAAATAAACGCTTTTTGACAGAAAACTTTCATACAGGCTTGTAAATGTGAGCCTAGAACCCTCATTTCAGTGTGGCCTGCATGGTATTCTGACCTGTGTCAATAAAGAGCTACCAAGCCAATCACTTTCTTCCACCTAGTTGTTTATTGACTATTATTTATCTATGGTTTAAAAAATTGGCGATTTATTTTTGAGAGATATAACTGATCTCATCCATCCCAGTTTTTAGAAAGGTTTACTTTGGAGCTATTATCTGGTCTGTGTCAGCAATAACTCGGAGCCAAGATAGGTCCTATGTAAAGGAAAATTTAGGAAGACTGTAAGGCTGGTCTGCTGCATCCACTGCAGCTTTCTGTTTTTCACTTACTCCATGTCTTGTTTCAGGGAGTCCCTAAAAGTCCTTCCACTTGCTCTTTCACACCCAAAGCATGTTGTCCCCTGTTCTCCTTCGCTTGAATTGAGGGTTCCCATTTGCACCAGGACTGTATCTATAATGCAGATTCCTTCCTTCTCCAAGGCAGCGACTCCAGTACGTCCTCAGCCACAGGATCTGCATGCCTCCATGGTTTGCCTTGGCTTGTGTTTCCCTTTCTTGTTTCCTCACATCCTTGTCTCACCATGCCAGGACCAAAGTCCACCCATTCCTTTGCTTCTCTTTCTTTTTTTTTTCTTATGCCACCAAACTCTAGGTTGGTTTTGGCCTCTGTTGCTCCCTATACTGAGCTTTCCAAACTGTAGGCTACTGTTCCCCCTACTGATCCTAGAGCAGTCATTTGTAAATTGTGTAAAACATGTTTCTGGCATTATACTACCTACAGTCAGGTATGTGGTAGCTGGTTCAAAGTACAGTGTAACTAAAGCTGCATAGTAACCATGTCAAAACTTGTAGATTTACAACAGTGCAATTTCAGGTTTGAGATTTATGTATGTTGCAGAGGGGTCTGAAATATGTGTCTAACCGGTTTGGAATACTTTGGATAATTTGTGACTGTCAGGTAAAGAACTTTCAGAGCTACAAAATATGTACAGACTCAAAGATGTCTGGACAGGCTGGAGAAGTGGGCCTGTGTGAACCTCATGAGGTTCAACAAGGTCAAATACAAGGTCATGCACCTGGGTTGAGGCAAACCCTGGTATCAATACAGGCTGGGGGGGAAGAAAGGATTGAGAGCAGCCCTGCCGGCTCTGGTGAGACCTCACCTGCGTTCAGCTCTGGAGCCCTCAGCACAAGAAGGACATGGAACTGTTGGAGTGGGTCCAGAGGAGGGCTACTAAAATGATCCGAGGGCTGGAGCACCTCTCCTACGAGGACTGAGAGAGTTGGGGTTGTTCAGCCGGGAGAAGAGAAGGCTGCAGGGAGACCTGATTGTGGCCGTTCAGTACTTATAGGAAAGATGGGGACAGTCTTTTTAGTAGGGCCAGCTGTGACAGGACAAGGGGTAATTATTTTAAACTAAAGGGGGGTAGGTTTAGACTGGATCTAAGGAAGAAATTCTTTACAATGAGGGTGATGAAACACTGGAACGGGTTGCCCAGAGAGGTAGTGGAGGCCCCATCCCTGGAAACACTCAAGACCAGGTTGGATGGGGCTCTGAGCAACCTGATCTAGTTAGCAGTGTCCCGGCTCACTGCAGGGAGGTTGGACTAGATGACCTTTAGGGGTCCCTTCCAACCAAAAACATTCTATGTTTCTATGTGCTTGCTTACTAGAAGCTCACTAATTGATAGCATCTGAAGTGATGTGCTTGGAACACTTTGCTTTTGAGTGCATTTCATTCAAAGCAGTATCAAAGCTCTATAATGGGTTGGGTACCACAGTCTAGACTGACATTTGACCTGGAGCTATTGATCATGGCTGTAGTAGGATAGGAACCTCTGGCGGTGTGCTCCCCCCACCCTGCTAAGCAGTAACCACCAGTGGGGGTGGTGATGGCTGCATCTAGCTTATGCTGGACTTTGGGGATGATGGCAACATAGTAGCCAAGGGCTGTCTGAAGGAGTGACCCACCTGTCTTGCTGGTATGCAAATATGACTATGAGCCAATCATCCTACCCCCATAAATAGTGCGCAGCCTGGGAGCCCTTTGAGCTCTCCTGCCTGGCAGCAGGCTGCACGCCACCATCTCCCCTTTATCAGGGTTGCCTCTCAAGGTTACTCCTTGAGCTTGAAAGATTCCTTACCACAACAGATTGTCTGTAAGTGGCTAACAGCACGCTAAACTTTGAAATCTTAGCGAAGTGATATAAAGCATTGATTGCGCATATATAATCGTTTAGACATAAACTGTCGACCAAGTCTGGGACTAGGACTGGATCCAGCCACACCTTGACTCCTCTCTGAGGAAGGAGTTTAGAAAGCAAGGGGATCTTTTCTGAACCTTGTGACTCAACAGGAGGGTCTCACTGGCAGTTTTGTCTGATCCCATCCTCTATGCAATAAATAACCAAGTGTACCTTGCCATTGAATCTTATAAACCAGTCACATTTACCATTGAACTTTAACTCACCCATTTATATCAATAAATTATATTTTTGCCTCTCTCTCACTCCATCTGGGACAGAAACAAATATTTTATGGGGCCAGCAACTCTCATGTGAGGGATTCAGTGAAAAGTCAAAGGAGACATGCTGTAAAATGCTTCAAATTTATTAATCATCATTTACTCTTTTTCATAAGGAACAAAAGTAAAACAATATTCCAAAACAAAATAGAAGAAGAAAATATACTACACCCAGATAACGTGACTAAGAAATGGGATAACATTAATTCTGAAAGAAGTGACCCAATAAATCAATCTTCCAAAAACAAAATAAATATCAATGGTTCAACTTTTAAAAGCTTCTTAGGAAAGAATTTACATATTATTATTATTATTATTATTAGTTTACAAAAATCCTTCATGTGCCCCTGTTGGCAAAAAAAATATATACTTTTTCTGTAAACAGTTAACTACAAACAAAAAATTTCCATATGTTCATACAGTTGCCATGCTGATGGTGTTATGTAAACAAAAAGTAATGTGCAGCAGCTTCTGATGATAGGATTTCTTTCTTTTTCTCACAACAATAT